TGATTTTTTTGATATCTGAACGATTTAACCAGCAGCCAATGTACTATATTTCCATCTACGTAACGTTTCCTGTTCTTCGTTAGCTGTTGGGCAACATCTTGAAAATTGTAAATGTCGTTACATTTTAGATTAACAACACTGAAAGGTCTTTTACGTCTGGCTTTTTTAAAGACTGAAACCTAATCTAGCATCGTGAAAAGATCCAGGTTGCGTTTTTGAGATTCTATTGCAGAAAATGTTGGGAAATGACTTCTAAAGGAGTGGACTGCATTGCATGTACAAACATTGCTGCTACATTTTGATTCCGGTTTTGACCTCCGCATGTATCTGAAAAAAGAGATACCTCTCTAATATTACTCGGTAGATCTGATAACCATTTGTAAATAGCGGTTCCAATCTCATTGCTTCTACGCCCAGCTTGAACTTCGTTCCAGCAGTAGCAAAATGCATCGTTAGGTTTGGCTGCATCATAAATACAAAGATTGTATAGACTAAGCTTTCTACTGTAATAGAGGAGTGATGCATTGGTATTTGGTAGCTGAAGAACGCTGTGTAGATCAAAAGAAGCAGAGATGAAATTTGAATCTTTTGTAGCTCTTAATTTACCTGAAGACTTTATCTGAGCTTCTTTACTGCGTTGGAGATGAGCCTGGTATTCCTCCTCAAAATTAACATTATCAATGCCTGTTAAGATTTTATGTTTTGAACATTTCATGCATTGGTCTTTTTTGGGGTGAAAGAAGGAAAGGTTGTATTCAGTACAAAATAATCTTCTGTATGTTAATTCTTCTACAGGATCTGTTTTTGGTGGTACTAATTGATCACAATGCAATTTATACAAGTGGTACATCTTACTTATACTCATATCTTGGTTTAAGTATTGGCGATGGGTATCACTTCTGGTGTAGTGTGATTCAATCTTCGGAAAACTTTCTATATGCTTACGAACTAAATCTAATCGTTCCTCGCTAGTCTTGTTACTCGATGTATGATGACCCCTTTTATCTTCACCAACAAAGGTACTAGCCTCGCCCTTCTCAGCCAAAGCTGTATAAACTGGACCAGAGCTAACACATAATGTAGCTAGGAAAAACTTTTTGCAAACTTTGACATGCAAACCATCCGGTTTTATGAAGAAATATGAAATTGTGTGTTTTCTTTTACGCTTACGTTCTGCAGACCTTGGCCTTTCACGCTCTATTCCATATGCTTTAGTTCTTGACAATATGAAATCTTTCTGTCGTTTGTAATCTCCCAGATTCCAATACTCCTGGCATATCTCTACCCTATCTTCTTGAATCTGCATTTGGAACAATTAACTTGCTTGGGTGCTTTCTGTTTTTTATGTTTACCAGAAGTATCTATGTGTTCTTTCCCATTCTTATATAGGCGTTTTCTAACATTTTTCTTCCACCGAATAGGGTTTGAAGTTTTCCATCTTGTATGTTTATTGTCATCAGAAGATGACGCTTCCCCAGTTTCCGTTTCGTAAGAGGGATCATTATCTGTATCATCAAAATCGGATTCCTCTATCATTTCTAATACCATGGATGTATTGAGATTTTTATCTAAAAAGAACAGAAATAAATTTTTGACAAGATAGC